GTGGAAAGAATCAATGCAGGGGGTCTCGCCTTAACGACCGTAATTGACCCCAAAATTTCTCCTCCTGCTAAGCAAAACATTTGTTAAGTGAATTTTGCCCCATTTTACAACTTTTCTTGCCACAGTTGTTAGGTGAATCTGGCTTCCCCTTCGACTTGGCTTGTCGGATGGCCGCAAAAGGGGACACTGCGACCGTCATAAATGTGAGTCAGTTGCCACGCCTCTGAATTCTGATCCCGTGACTACGGGGAGGCTGCAACGGTCGTAAGTGTGAAAAAACGGTCGTAAGTTGCTTTTTCCAGGGCCGTTGTAACGGTCACTAAATGAACTGTCGCAAGACGAGGCCTGATTGTAGAAGAGGTGTTTCCCCCTCCCCCCCCCCACAAATTGTTTCTTATTTTCACCTCAGCCAGAAGGTGGAGATGCTGGCTAAGAGATTAGCCCAGGAGTGAAGTGATATCAAATGATAATAAAATGGGCCGGATGGCTAGGAAAATGCCAAGAAATGGCCAGCCGTGGTGATTTCTATTGTTAGCGATTGGATCGGGATAACCCTGCCTTAGTGTTTATTTCCAGAGCGAATAAAAGGTTATCTGGACTTTGTTCGCCACAAAACGTGTACCGCTTTATACTGCACTAGTGAGGCCACACTTGGAAAAACTGTGTGCAGTTCCTGTGGCTGCAATCCAAAAAAGAGGTTGAGACTCTAGAAAGAGTGCAGAGAAGAGCAACAAAGATGATTAGGGGAGGCTAAACCACACAATGAATAATTGTGGGAAATAGGTATGCCAATCCGCTCTGGTTGGTGGCTTGACAGTCTAGGTTTAAAAGCTTTCAGTTTTAGAAGACTAACTCATAAATTGGGCTGCACTACTCAAAGCTGAGAACATGGAACTAGGAGTTGAAGACCAGTTGCTCCAGTAAGTTGATCGATGGGATTATAGAAAGGAAAGAGGATGTAGGCTAGGTTCATGTATCTTGATAGGTCAAGGGCCTTCAAACTTGGCCCTTTGATGACTTGTGGACTTCCTGGCTGAGGAATTCTGGGAGTTGAAGTCCACAAGTCATCAAAGGGCCACGTTTGAAGAGCCCGGGTCTAAAACTCTTAAAAACTCTTCAGTTTTAGAAGACTAACTCATTCATTGGGCTGCAGTACTCAAAGCTGAGAACACGGAACTAGGAGTTGATGAAGACCAGTTGCTCCAGTAAGTTGATCGATGGGATTGTAGAAAGGAAGGAGAGGATGTAGGCTAGATTCATGTATCTTGACGGGTGGTTTGGGTTCTGCAATTACCCAGTGTCTCTGAAAAGAACTACATTCCCTCTGTCCAAGTCTCCCATTGGAGCCAGTATCCTTATGCTGCCAATGTTTATTTTCTGTGGTTTTAGACTCGCGAGACCAACTCCAGCGAAAGCCGCCTGCAAACCGATCCCATTTCTGGAACATTCGCTCTTCCTGTTTATTTCACGGGACGGAGACATCTAGATGGAGGCTGGTGAGCTGGAACTGGGTGCCAAAGCAGGAGCAGAAGGACACCCAAAAAGATCCACTGCTTTTCTGAGAAGTTCTGCCTTGCATTTTCCAGGGATGGTGTGGTTTTTTTTTGTTTTTTTTTGCCACGACAACTTCAAGCAGCCTCGTGTCCATGCCAAAAAGCCAACCAACGTTGTGAGATATTTCCTGGGCGCGCAGATATTTGTGCGTTTGAGGAACACA